TCGTTTACGTATGTGAAGGTGTCTGAAGCAGGCACAAGAGCTCGAGAGATGGAAGACAGAAGTTGGAAGGAGATGAAGAAGAGAAGTGAAATGGAGGCCATTTTTGGTTGGTGATTTGAGTTGAGAGCATGGAAGAAGAGGTATATATAGATGGAAATGAAAATGGAAAAGCGAGGAGATGATAAGTTGTACCGTACAACCATGCAATGCAGGGTATGATAAAGTCGACTTATGTATAATATTTTATTTACTATTTATGGGGGGCGGCACCAAGGAAACAATAAATTTAAAACGAAGAGAACCTAGGAATCGAAAGCGGAATTTAGTTACAAGTAAAAGTTTAAAAAACCCAATGGAATTTAGGGGCGGTTCGGAAGTGACTTAAAGTGCTATATAACATGTATGGCTTATTCACTAAGCCATATATAAGTGTTCGGAAATGACTTAATGGGCTAGAAAGAGGCTGATGCACTCAGCCATTTTTTTACCTTCTTACCCTTTGTATTATCTCGTTCTTAGAAAAAAACACTCCCCTAAACCGAGAGATGCAACTCAAATTTCGTTCTCGAGATCATCGCCGGTCGTCCCCTAGATCTCGTTCTCCACATCATCGTCGGTCGTCACCCTCCGCCTCACCATCACCGGTCGTCGCCATCCGCCTCACCATCACCGGTTGTCGCCCTCCGCTTCACCATCATCGGCCGTCCCTGCGCCACCCACTCTCGTTCTCTCCCTCTGCCTCACCATCACCGGCCGTCCCTGCTTCACCCACTCTCGTTCTCTCCCTCTACCTCACCATCACCGGTCGTCCCTGCATCACCCACTCTCGTTCTCTCCCTCTGCCTCACCATCACCGGCCGTCCCTGCGTCACCCACTCTCGTTCCCTCCCTCTGCCTCACCATCACTGGCCGTCCTTGTCCTCTGCCTCACACACCGACGACCAATCTCCATTTCCTCCATTGAGTTGCATCTCTCATTTTAGGGTTTGGATCCCAGTGCTTTGCATCTACACTGCTTTCGATTTAAATTTTGGGTTTTAGGTTTCCTTCCTTTGTATTCTAGTATGCCAAGATTTGGGTATGTTTTCTAATTTAGGGTTTCGATTTGTTTACAGTTTTATGATTTGATCTATTAATATTGTTGTTTTGAGAAATGTGATCTATTATGTTCTATGTAAAACCAAGGGTAAAATAGTCATTTTTATTATTCAGACGTTTTATTCAGCACAACAACTGAACAACAACTTATCTGTTAATATACAGACAACTATATCCATACAGGTCTTAATAGAAAATGAACCGAACATCCCCTTAATGGTTAGAATGATTAAGTTTTTGAATAATTTTTTGGAATAAATAAATCATTGGACATTTCAAAACCTTTTAAACAACTCATTGGACTTTCCGAAACTTGTTATATACATTCATATGACCTATAAAACTAATTTAACGTGATAAAATAATGAAAAAGCATGAAAAAAGCCAATGAACATTCATACTTTACCGGACAAGTAAATAATAGCGTTGAATTTTACCGGTAAGTGCTTACCAGTTAATTGTTTGATAAACGGCCTCTTAGATTCCATTAAAAAAAACCAGATAGCAAATTAAAGGCCAAGAAATAAAAAACAAAAGATAAACTAGTAGCAAACCTTAAATCAAAATAACAAACCCAAATGAAATAACAAATTAAAAAATCTTAAATCAAATAATAGTTAAGAAAGAGAAATTAATAATTAATAAATATCAATAATTATAAATCTATAAAACAATAAAATGCAAAAAGAAAGTTGGAAAAAATCAAAATAGTGATTAATTAAATCATTAGCATTATAACAAATAAAATAAGAAAAATAAAATGATTTTCAATAGATTGAGATTTGAAACTCAATGACGTTTAATTGAAATGAGATGCATAAATTTAGATTTGGTATCTTACATTTTTTTAAAAACCTACCATTAATGCTTTATTTGGTTGTTTTTAGGCTTAGTTTGTTGGGGGCTTGTGCTCCCTACACCTATAATGTGCATCCGTGTGTGTATATACATATATATATATATATATATATAAATTGAGTGGTTTTCATTTGATCGCTCCCCTACCTATATTAAACAATTTCATGAAAAAATTTCATAAGATTACGATGGATGAGAGTGGTTTTTACGGTTTTTACAAATTGAAGTGTTTTCATTTGATCGCTTATATATATAGGGGAGCGATTTAAATGAAAACCACTCAATTTGTAAAAACTGTAAAACCTCATTCCACCAATCATAATTATATATATATATATATATATATGTTTAATTAATAAAATAATGGTAGTAAAATAGAATTTAATAAAGAAACTTTCGATAAATCAATAAATCAAAATTATTAAATTAAATTATCTTGACATTTGTTATAATTAATAATAAAAAAAAAGATCGAATAATGTCATTAAAATTATTGATAATTAAGTAGGTAATATAGTATTTTTTTCCAATTAATCCTAATAAATAGACAAGAATATATAAAAGTCATTCAATTATATTTACATTTCTTAATTACTCCAAGTAAATTAATTGTCGATTACATTTCTTAATTACACATGAATAAACACTTGTTCATAAGTCAAACATCTCATTTCAACATTTAGAAAAACATTGTATTCATATATGAACATTATAACCACATATACTTGACAAAAACTAGGTATGTATAAATTATCAATTATTTTTAAAAAAATGAACAGTGTTCCAAACAAAGTCATTACCTAAATGCAAACTCCGTGGGCTACTTTCGAATTAAAAAAACTATAGGGACCAAATCCAAGAAAATATTAAAACCACATGGACCAAATCGGGAATTTATTCAAGAAAATATAGGTTCTTTTCATTGGGTTGCTTTCATTCTTTATTTTTTGGTTCACTAAAAAATACAATTATCCGACAGATATGATCACATCTTTGACTCGTACATATTTCTTACGTATCTTAATTCCATTTACATCAACCCACACAAACATAAACTTCGAACATAAAACAGAATTGCTAAGTAGAGCGATTCAAACACCATCTACTTGGGTGTTTTGATGTAGGCCAAATTCGTCGAGTTCCCAACTCTTGTTAATGTTTTCAAATCGTACGCGATCCAACACCTCGATCGATCCGTATGATAGAAATACCCCACACACTTACAATCCTTGCTGCATTTGGTCTCGCACTCGGTTTGCTTAATTGGCCCATCTCCCCTGGTGTACTTGATCATAAAATGGTCAACCCCTTCGAGCTTATAGTACCCAAACTCACCACTCTTGCAAGTTGTCACCTTTTTCGAATCGCAATCTTTACTCCACCCACTTAGCCCATTTGGTGTTGGGCAMGCCACACACTGGCTATCCTCACAAAGACCAAACTTCCCACATCTTTCCGGTAACTGGCACTCGCCTTCCATGGAACGCCTATCGAAAAACGTGTATATAACTTCCCAAGAAACACCTTCCACGTT